ATGCTTTGGCGGTCGAGCTGCTGAGGCTGAGGCCACTGTGGGGAGTGGGCCACAACCGGCACAACAACCGCCGTCGACAGTTGTGCTGTTTAAAAAAAAACGGATCAGCAGTTGAACGGAGTTCCAACTTTGACCGGTCTGAATGCTGGGAAAAAAGTGTACGGTTTCGCCGGTCACTCCCTTGTGCATGCGGGTGGAGTGACGGTGGCCCTCGCCAAGGCCCGCTACGGCCCTGGACTCATTTCCGACGTTGGGATTTGGGCGACGTGCATCAGCTGCAGCGGCGGGAGTGGGGGGAGTAGCGGCTGCACTCCGTTGACTACTAATGATGCCGCTGCTGGAAGTGGGTGTCAATGGACTAAGGCGGTGCCTAGGCGGCAGCAACGGGGAGAGCGGCTCTCTTGTCTTCCGCTACGGCCCCAGGGCGGTTGTGAAGGGCAATAAAATACTGCTTCTGCTGATGAGCTACACGGAACCCACAGGGACACCGAAGCCAAACTCACAGGGAAGTTGGGAGGCTGCGCTGCACGAGGGCACAGTCGCAGACTCCAGTGGATCCAAGTCCATCACGTGGACGACATCCACAACGCCATCATCACCAGCGCTGAATTCCACCTTCACCACAGAGATGGGTAAAAAGAAATGGAGGTCCTTCGTGGACAACGCAGGGCGGGGCGTTGTGCATAAAAGTAAGGTTTTCTTCCCCCTGGTGGCGGTGAGCTCCGAAAGCGGCGTGCGTGTCTGCACAGTCATCTCTTTGACGGAGCGCAACGGAGAGACTGCGGGGGGCGGGACGTGGAGTTTCTCTTCGGGCGTTCCGATGGCTGAGGGCTGCGTCGCCGCGACGCTCCTCGAGTGGAAAGAGAAACTCCTCATGATCGCCGTGACTGAACTTCGGCGCTACCGGCTGTACGGGTCGGCTGACGCGGGGGCGACGTGGACGGAGATGACGGGGACGCACGCGCACCTGTTGGGCGACTTCCTCAACGGCGTTGAGCCCGGCGAGGGAGACGACTTCATCACCGCGACCATCGACGGGACGGAGGTGGTGCTGTTTGCCCGGCGGTGGCACAGCTACGACAACGCGACAGGCGCCACTCGAAGTGTGCTCCAGCTTTGGGTGACCGACGGCAGGCGCCTGCATCCGGTGGGCCCGATCTCGACGGAGCCGCCGCAGAGCCACGACTTCAGTGCCCTGCTGCACACAGGTGACAATGGCTTGTTTGCCATGTACGAGAGGAGAGACAATACGTCGAGCGGCCTTCTTCTTGCGCCCCT